TTTAAAATAAATATGTTTAGAAAAAAAATGTAAAATCATACTTACTAAGAAAAATACTATTCTAAGCACTCTAAGAAATATTGGATGTAAGAAATAACCTAGAACCTATGATTAGATGTATTTGTAATTTGTACCTATAATCTATTATATATATTGCAATTAATTTAATTAACTTGATTTATCATATTATATAATAATATGAAAATTGACTTAAGTCTCAAATACTTAATTACCGACAGACAATTATAGTGGTCTTCGCTGTCAACTCCCAGCTTGTTCTCGTCGTTGTCAAAAGTGCTTCTCTATCCGCCAGCTCGATAAATAAAACCGTACGATGAACGGTATGGCTGGTATGGTAAAATGATTGTTAAAAATAGTCTTTCGGGTGTTTTTCCACATATTTATGAAGCGTTCCCAATTTTTTAAGTTTATAACAGTTAACAACTGTGAAAGTAAACGGTCCTTTTCTGCATTAAAAATAATTAAAAATTTTTATCGTTTTAGGTATGATGGGTGGAATCAAGACTGGCATCTCTAAAAATACTTTCAATCAAGACTTCACAATGAATATTTCATTTGAATACGTTATAAGAAAATTTTAGGACTCAAAGTCCAGAAAAATGTTTTTTTTAACATTAAATTAGATTAAAAATACATAAATATATTTTATTTTGCATATGGCGAAAATGTATATTAAAATTAGAACACAATGTAATTTTTCCATATTACCTATCAATAAAATGTATCTTAAAACCGTTGGCTAACAAAATATATAAAGTACTGTTTTAACAATTAATTGTAACTATACTACGATTATACATACACTATACATATTGATATTGTATAATGTATATTTATTACAAATTAATAAATCTGAATAAAAAAAAAAGATGGGCAAGTGGTAATCGCTCTGCTGTACAGTAGATTACAAGTGGATCACTGTAATGGTTGGTCTTAAATTTGAATTCGATGATAAAATATCTTTGAATACGAAAAACGATTCTGAGTGTAGACGGCGGTCAGTCAGCCTATGACTAAGTATATTTGATAGTATTATTGTGAATTATTTATTTACCTATTTACTTGGAACTTTGTTTTATATTTTTAATTCTTAACTATAAAAGTTGAACATGTTATACATTTTTTAAGAAAAAAATCAATTTTGAATTAAGATTTGATATATTTTGTCAAATTTCGAACTTTAATGCCTATGTATTTTTAATGGTTTTCAACTGCTATTGTAACAATATATCAGCTTTGTACTACATTTTCAAGCTTTTTGACCCAACGAAAACAATTTAATAGAAAAAAAAAAATATTGAAAATTAAAAATGTCCGTAAACAGCTCATAACGAGTCAAAATATTTTCAACATTTTATGGTGTATAGAAAATGAAAATATAAACATTCAGTGAAATTTTAACATATCAACATAAGTAGTAATTTGGTTTTAAATTACAACAAAATAAGAAAATCTCTACATGATAAATTGGGTCAATATCCAATTTTTTTTTTTGATGAAGGTAGTTAAACTTATAAGGAATCTTGTATTACATTTTCAAATCTTAGAATTTCTAATTCAAAATAATTGGTATGTGTGATTTTGTCAAAAACCGATTTTGCATACAAATTCCAGTTTTTCTGGATTGCAAATTTTAAATGTTGACCTCCCGAAGCACTAACTAGATTCACTTTCCCATCGTACAAGATAATGTTGAAGAAAATCGAATAAGTTTGACTGCCATAAACAGTAATGACAGACGCAAAATAAAATTAAAATAAAAACATCGCTCAGCTCAGAATCTAAAAATAAAAAAATTACACATCATTGTAAAATCAATAAATTCATCGCTCCGCTCAGAATCTAAAAATGAAATGATTTTGGGTGAAAGGGCCCCACCAAAAGTAATAGCCCCCATTATGCTATGACCATAATCCTTATATATGATGTATACATTTGTATATGGTCTTAACACTTGTAAGGTCTTAAGCTTATCATACACACACACATGACAACACATCTTCATCAATGTTTTTCCGTAAGTAGAAACTTAAGTGTTAGACAATCGTGGAATACATTTTAAATAAAAAAATAATGAGGATTTAAAAAATATAAGCTATAATAATTATAATTTAGCTGATACATCACCGTCAAGTGTACGGTATTCCGAGCTTCTGCGGACGTTATCGAAAAGTTACGAGAAAAATTCATTTAACGATTATAGTAAACTTGTTTGAATGTATCAAAACTGGTCGATTTATACGTATTACCGCTCAACGATCTGTCAATCCACCGGACGACGACGCCCCACGGTACGGATGACGGAAAACATTCCCATCACCACATTTTGTTAACAAGACCATGTATATATAAGTTTATTATTTACCACTATTTATACTTGGTACACCCACCAGTTCGCCTAGACCTGCATGAGTGGGTATAAGAAAAGTTAAATACATACAACAGTGTACCTCCTATAGTGTCACTACCTACTATTACCACATTTTCTCTCTGAATTGCATTTACTGCTTATTTGATCCTGATTGTAGAAAGTTATTGTCAGTACCTCCTTTCACATTTTTTCCTATTTTATTTTGAATGGATTGGTATGAAAATTTAAGTCGGTTTTTTTCATTAAAAATGTCTATTTAAAATTAGCTTTTTTTTCTATTATCACCGAAACATTCGTTTCGACCAAAATATGAGTTACCGCTTAGTGGCTTAGATAATAATATTATTTTACTGCTGTGGTCATGACGTGCCGAACGTGGTGCAGCCATATGGTACGGTTACCGCTCACCACCAATACACAACACGTATGCGTGATGTATGACAAAATCGAGGGGGGCGATCGCCGGCGGTGCTATAGAGTTGGTTGGGGGGGCGCACGTGAGGCGAATGGCGGTGCGTGAGGGGAATGTTTGGTTGCGGGGAGGTTGAGGGCACTATAACTGCTGTAACAACATAATAGCGTAGGTATATATATACATACACAGCCGCAGTGCGGATAACGCGCTTTACTGTTTACTGTCGTTGGCCATGTGGGTGGCGTGTGGTTATACTGTATAGCTGCAGCAGTATAGGTATTATGGGTTGTGGGTATACACATATAATATTTATTACACGACCAATGCTAATAAATAAAACACACTACCGTACAATAAGCCACCCCGTAAATAGTAATAATAGCGATAACGATGACGACGACCGCGCGCGCCAATTCGACTTTTACGGTCGTAAATAACGCCGTCCCCGCCCGTCCGCCCACCCGTCGGCGCGGTGACTCCTGACGAATTAAATGTGTCCGCCAGATGACTGCCGCACCACGACAACTATACCACGGCCAACGGGTGCCGATAAAATATTATTATATCGTCGCACACGATGGCGCAAGGTGGCACGGGCCGCAGTGTTTGCGGAGCTCAGACTATGTAGTTCGGTGGCGTCGCGTTTTTCAGCCGCCGAAGACGTATAGGTGACGACTTCTCCGGCTGTCGCGGCGTACGCTCGAGGCATAATAATACGACGGCGTGCGATACGCGTGTGCGTGCGCGAGGGGGCGTCTGCGATAAACATCTCACGCACACGCGCGTATGCGTACAATAATAATATTATAATAGTATACCGAGGCAGTACGCGCGACGTGTGCGTGGTGAGCATCGTCGCGTATGATAATAATACACGCCGCACCGCCGCAGCCACCGTGTGCGTGTGCGTTTTACAACCGTCTATACGCGCGCTGTACGTCACGATAACGGTGGCGGCGGCGCGTTGCCGAGGGAACGCACTTGCCGCCGGACGCGCGTACGCGGCCTTGACGGCCCGCCTCGCTCTATATCGCGCATATCGCGTAATATGACGTGTGTATATATATATATTATACATGAATATGTATAATGGCGAGCTTGCGAGACGTGCGTTGCAACCGGCCGCTTGTGCGTGCGGTGCTCCACGGCGAGCTAGCCGGCGAGCGAGCCACCGATCGAGCGATGCGAGTTAGCGAGCTGCGGCACGACGATTGTCGCGCCCGCGCGCTGGCCGCGGCGGCATATAGCGTGTGTCGGGCGAGACCGTGCCGGGAAAACGAAACGCCTGAACGGGGGGGCGCGCGCCACGGATACAACGCAAATCGATCGCGAACCGGCCGCGAGCGCTTGCGCTTGGGTCATTAGTTTTACGCGCTGCAACTGTATAGCATACACTGTATATACAATATAAACTACATAGCGACGGGGCATGGTGACGGCGGCGGCGGCGGAGGCGGCGACGGAGCACGATGACGGTGGCGGCGTTTTGATAAAAATAAAAATAAAAAAAACAAGATAAAACACTCGACCGAGCGAAAACCGCCGCCGCGGTGCTATACTGGCTGCAGTTCGCCGAGTCGCCGCCGCGCACAGTCATCATTCAGTGTAGCTGCTTGTCGCGAGTCGGCCGGGTGTCTGGTGGTCGCTACCGCCGAAATCCGCGATAGCACGCGTTCGCTACTACATTGGTGGCTACTGTGTGTGTGAGAGAGTGTGCGCGCGCTTGTGTACGATCGTGTTCATCGCGTACGCTAGAGAGGGTTGTGCGTGTGCGCGCGCGGTCACCGGTGTACAGTAGACGCGAGTATAATAATATATAATAATAGTAGTAGTAGTAAAATTACACGAGGTGGGCGCCACGGCGTGAACGGACGTGCTTTCGAGTGCACGCGTAAAGATAAAAAGGAAATTTAATACAAAAATTGAATATTTATAAAAAAAAAAAAATACATAAAAATAAAAACCTATGTAAATAGCGACGGTTCTAATTCGTCTCGTCTCGTCACACGGTACCGCGGGCACCGTCCAACATAATATTTTATTTCGCTGTCGTCTTGGTCACGATCGTTCGGGGGGAGACGACGACGACAGCCGTGCACGCTCTGACGTTTCGGTGCCGGCGATCAAAGACGACGACGACAGTACAATAGTGGCGACTGCGGCGGCGTGTACAGCGACGCGTGAGTATGCTATTTATACGAGAACAACTGGACCGGCGGCCGCCGTGGATACTGTCATTCCACCGCACAGCATGGCCTCGGTCGCCGCTTGGCTGCCGTTCGCCCGGGCGGCGGCCATCGGTTGGGTGCCGATCGCCACGCACCCACTGCCGCCGCCGCCGGTGCCCAAGGACCGGCGGAGAATAGACGACGAGAAGCTACTGATCAACGTCTCAGGGCGCCGGTTCGAGACATGGCGAAACACGGTGGAAAAGTACCCGGACACGTTGCTCGGGTCCAACGAACGGGAGTTTCTCACGACGAAGACTGCAAGGAGTACTTCTTCGACCGGGACCCGGACATATTCCGGCACATACTCAACTACTACCGTACCGGCAAGCTGCATTACCCGAAGCACGAGTGCCTGACCAGCTACGACGAGGAACTGGCGTTCTTCGGCATATTGCCAGACGTCATCGGCGACTGCTGCTACGAGGACTACCGGGACCGGAAGCGCGAGAACGCTGAGCGGCTGATGGACGACAAGCTGTCGGAGAACGGCGACCAGAACCTGCCGCAACTCACCAACATCCGGCAGAAGATGTGGCGGGCGTTCGGCAATCCACACACGTCCACCGCGGCACTCGTCTTCTACTACGTCACCGGCTTCTTCATCGCCGTGTCCGTCATGGCCAACGTGGTGGAGACGGTGCCATGCGGCCACCGGCCCGGCCGCGTGGGCACACTGCCGTGCGGCGAACGCTACAAGATCGTGTTCTTCTGCTTGGACACGGCCTGCGTGATGATATTCACCACTGAGTATCTGTTGCGGTTGTTCGCAGCCCCGGACCGGTGCAAGTTCATGCGCAGCGTCATGAGCATCATCGACGTGGTGGCCATCCTGCCGTACTACATAGGTCTGGGCATCACGGACAACGACGACGTGTCCGGTGCTTTCGTCACGCTCCGCGTGTTCAGGGTGTTCCGGATATTCAAGTTCTCCAGGCACTCGCAGGGGCTCCGTATACTCGGCTACACGCTCAAGTCGTGCGCTTCCGAACTCGGGTCTTTGGTGTTCTCGCTGGCCATGGCCATCCATTTTCGCCACCGTTATGTTCTACGCCGAAAAGAACGTGGACGGCACGAACTTCACGTCCATTCCGGCCGCCTTTTGGTACACCATCGTCACCATGACCACGTTGGGGTAAGCGCATTTAATCAGTTCAGTCAGCGGTCTGCATAGTATACATTACCGTGTGTGGGATCAACTCCAAACCAACCCTGAATAAATTACAATTACAATATCATGTAGTGTATTGTGCGGTGAATTACGTTTTACAGAAAAACAGTTAAATCCGAAGACAACGCATTATGATGGTGTGTTATACTTCGCAAATAATAAAATTTGAAATATTGTCCCGTCTGAAATGATAAACGGACGCATAATATGAACGTAACTATATGTAGTCTAAATGCACGTTCGAAGTGCCTGATGTATAGACGGGTTTAACAGTTGGTGGTTTTGATTTGATTCTTAATCGTTCTAAAAACCTGTTCTTTAAAGCGGTATTTTTTCAATATTTTTAACCCCAACATTGTACCGTTTTTTTTTCTCAAACTTACTCGACTTTAAAGTGCAGTTTCCTAGCTATTTGTTCGTTTCAACGCCCTAACAAGTAAAAAACGCTTTACATGGCAAGCAGCAGGTGAGTCTATAAGCTATCCCACATCATTTAAATCCCTTTACGGCGTATTAGTGAGACCTGTTCTCGAGTACGGTTCGTTGTTTAGATTTTCATACGAATGCCGGCTCTCACTAGTTGAAGAGGGTTGTACACATGTGTCTACAATTTGCAGTCACATCCTGAAAATAAACTGTTCGCCTTACGAAGATTTCCTGTTCTTTTCCAGCTCGGTTTGATTGTATATACCTTCTTTCATTTTTTTTTTTTTTTACCAAAGAAATTGGTTTCCAGCGTAATAGGAACCTAGAATTGAATTCATCCCACTAACTACGAACGAAATAAATTAATTTCACATTTTCGCATCAGATTATCTTGTGTATAATCACTATATTATGTTACTAGAAAGCGCAATTAATAAAATTATTAAATAACAATAGAACATAAAAATTGTATACCTATATTTAGGCCCAATTTTTTTTGTTTCTAAAAGTTGACGTATAATACTTAAACGAAATATGATACCATGTTATTATAGTATGTGGCAATAATAATTAACAAGTATAACAACACTTCGCAAATAAATTATAACATTTTTTTTTTATTAATTAAACCTAACGTAACCTAACTGAATTTATTTATAATATATTTAAATATTCGAGTTCAAAATTAAATTGAGTTTTAAATTTAAATCATAAAAATGGGTTTTTTTTATAACATAAGTGTCTAACGTAAATCATGGACATACATTACTATGTCTGAAGACTGAAAATGTGTAACATATATATTAGCATATAGTTTGTATGTTTTAGTGTAGTATGTGTGTGTGTATTGATTTTATTACTCGATAAATCTGTTAATGTATTTTATAACAATCATAGACGCTACTTTGGAATCGGGCCATTGGTTGAACGATATTCCAATAGCCAACTGTGTTATTAGTATTTCATAAGTCTATAACATATACAGTTATAAAACTCAAATTCTTTATTTTATTAGGTATTTTCGTTTTAATACTGTTTCATATAAGCATAATTTAAATTTAGAAAATTCAAGTAAATAATATAATGAATAGTCGTTTTATTATACTACGTACCTATATATTCAAAATGTTGGTATATAAGAGTTTTAAATATTCAAACAATTAAGTAACTATTTACTAATGTAATAAATTATATACGGGTTATTAAAACATTAAAAGTATAATATAAGTTATAAATATTTGGCATTGCGATGAATTGCGCATCCCAATCATCCCATTCCACAACCTATTCACCCTATTACACCGTTTAGTGTTTACAACGGATTGTTTAATATTACAAGGTATTTGCTATGCAATTTTGAAAATGGCAAAATGTTTACTAAATATTGCTTACTAAATATTGTTGCAAAGTTGTAAAAATGCGCAGCGTAATTATTATGAATAAATTTCCTGACCATTAACCTCGGTAATTATTAAGATTTAATATATTTTAAAATAAAAAAATGTTTTGCTTCTTGAATTGTTTAAATTCTATTACATTTTTGAATTTTAAGAAAAATATACTATTTAAAATTGTTTCTGATTATATTAGGCTATAACAATTTAAAACTCAAATAAATGAACTCTACTTTCAATATTTTTTATAATTCAGTACTTACCTAATAAATAATAATAAATGACAAATTAAATATTGCAATAATACATAGGTAGGTATAAACGTAAGTAGGCAAACATCGCCACGGGGTATAACTGACAGTGATATTAATAGGTACCCATAGGAAAAATGCATTTGTTAAAATTATATTTGTTTTTGTTAAACATATAGTCAGTTGTATAATGTATTTCCTACAAAGATTTATTTATAAAAAAAGTGAGGTTGTGAAATTTGCATTACCTTCCTCACCACTTTCAATTAGTAATTCCTTACGGGACACAGTGTTTGATACTTGGGTACACATCATAACTAAGTTTGGTTGTTAGATTAGAAAATTCCATAGTAAAATGTATTGTGCCCTTTTATATGTTAACAACAGGACTTCGGAGTAATATAGGAAAATTGGTTTTTGATATTTTGTAACCGCAAAATATGTGAAATTCGTGTTTACATTAGACTGTATCAACAAGAAACGTATAGAGAAAGCACATTATCAAAATGTTCTCAAAGGGTTTTTTTTCAAAATGATACTCCAAATCGAGTTATAAGTATTCCAACAATATATTTTTCAAATCATCAATAATAATGATCTTTATAATAAAAATATAGAAGAAAATCTTTATAAATATTTATGTCATAGGTGCCTATTATGTTTCATAGAATAAATACCCTATTTTAACTCACTTCCCTGCAGTTAAATCATTATAGTACCATAGGTCCTATACTTAAAAAGAAGTTGATTGGTTTTCATTTGTTTTTAATATTTAAATAACTTTTGTTTTATTAGTTTATAGAAATTAAACAAATAAAACAAATTTTAAAACGGTTTAAAAATATGTAAAGAAGATGTTGGCAATCCCTTTATAATCCAACTTTAATTAATAATATTGAGTATTAATGGCTATTATTTGGTATTTTTAAAATTATGGAAATCAGTGTCACTAAAATGATATATACTCATATAATTTAGTAAATTAATCTCTAAAACTAGTAAAATACAACATTATTAATTATGTTTAGTAGGTACTATAGTAAAAATTAATTATCTTAACCTACTGCTAAATATTACATTAATAGTAAAATAATATTAAACCACAATTTATAATACTTATTGTATTATAATTTATAACTTCTGGTTGAATATTATTTTGCTATAAAAGCAAGCACCCGTAACCCATCGGTTATCCGATTTTATTGAAATAAAAAGGTTCATAAAAACTAATCGAAAAACTAATGAACAAATAATTAAATTATGAAAACGTATTTAAAAAAAAAATAAAAAAATATTAATTAACTATTAACTTGAAAATTAATATACAATTTCAATATCAGAGGGACAAGGGCGTTAATATTTTAAAATTAAAATTGACGAATTTAACCAAGTAAACAAAGTAAATAGTTATCACTTGAAATCAGGTTAAAGTTGCAGGTAATGAAAGTTTTCCGGACTTTTGCTTATTACTATTAAAGCGATTTGCTGTTCACAAGTTACTATTTTCAACAATGTCCATAACAAAGTTATTTGACAGTTTTGTCAGAAACTTACTCTACAACAAATCACCCTTAATATCGACCTAAATAATTTACTTATATCTCGTGTTACAAGTAACGGTACTTTTTTTATTTTAAAAGACATTTACAGAACCTATTTATCAAATAAGATTATAGTACCTATGTATTCGTTTTCGAAGAGTGTGGTTTCTTATTTCGACAAAAAAAAAAATATAATTTTACAGAATATGGAGGTACCAGGTACATCGTACTTGGTAATTGGCATCATTACAACGTCTGAAACTTCAAATGGCTGTCTGTTCTATGTATTACTTACATTAATTACAAATGTATTTAAAACAGGCAATTGTGTCTGATGTTAATACCAAAACTTGTTATTTGTATAGACAGACATTTTTTTAGTTGCAAATGTTGCGATAAAAGATTTCTTTTTAGCTTTTTATTACTTATTATTTATTAATTATTATAGAATCAGATAATCATATAACTACCTAGGTAAGTACTTAAAACGTGAGTTTTTAATGAATTTTGTTCAAATTAAAATACTAATTGACATTTATACCTAACTAATTTCATTAAAAAGTATAACTTTTGTAAATAGTTTCAGTCTGTTGATGTAAAAAATAAAATAAAACAAATTAAAATATAGTTTTTAAACACAAATTATATCATGATACCATTATCGAATTAAATTAACTTAAATACCCATTCACGAGATAATTGTTTATAACATTTATTTATTATTAATACCTACCTGCATTTTTTACAACGGTAAATTGTATTTGTTACGATTATTGGAATATATAATATGTACCTAATATAATTAATGCAATATAAATTAAGTTTGTAACGATAATAATTATTATTAAAAATAATAATAATGTTACATTTTTATTTTAAAGTGACTTGTTGAAATAAATCGTGGTCAATGCTTACAACTCTTATAATATTTATTTTTATTAATTATTTTATTTTATGAAAAAAAAAAACTATGTAAACGTAGGTATAGGTATAGGTATACCTTACTATTTACTTTTTGAAATTGTTGAATTCATTAAGTTAATCAAACATAATTTATAATTATTAAATACTAAATATTCCATCTAAATTGTTATGAAGTACTTTTCTGGTAAATAGAAATATTTCCCATTTGAGTGGAAATTGTAGTCCATATTAAAAATAATTTTAAAAATGTTTCAAATCCTCTACTAAAGTCCATCTGATGACAGAGGATTAATATATTATCCTTCTAGCTGCTTGTGTAATGACAATTATATAGATACAATGAAAAGATATTAAATCCGAATTACATGTTTAATTATTGTGGGTTCCTAGTATCGGATTAAACCTTAGTGATTAATTCTACCTAAATA